CTGTAGTATAAATCCAGAGCCACATTTGGTGGTTCTAGAATCCTCACTGTCAGTTGCAACTAAAAAATAAAACGAAAAATGTGAAAGCAGCATATTTTATCAGCTTGTTGGCTGGGGTCAGGTACCTGCTCTGCAGCAGAAACTCAGTCTCTTGCTTATTTAGGTGTGCAGTACTGGCAGACAGCTGAGATACAGACTCAGCAGCTGCAGTTCAGTACACGGTTTTCAGAGTCAGAGAGAACAATTTCAGTATTTTTTAACACAGGATATAGGAATAACTACCCTATGGAAACCACCCCACCTCACCCCACCCCATCCCCAATAAACATCTCTATCTCTGAAACCTTATTACTTCTGGTTCGGCAAGTTAGGAGTAATTAATCAACTGTTCTGTCTATTGGGGCAAGGGAATTGGAAGGAAAAACTTGGTGAGTAAAAGGAGTAGAGAAAGCTCCAAAACAAATTATATTTTGGACAGATGGCCAAGATTTTATATTTCCATTGCTAAACAATACATAGATTTATCAGTTAGTTTGGTGACAAACGCTGGTATTTCATTAAAGAGAAAAAAACAAAAAGAAATAGATGAAAGAATGAATAGTATATGGAACCTCTACTAAAGAGGTAAAAAACTTAACTAGAAAGTCAAACAATTAAAATTTATAGGAAATAAACTCTGAAAATGAAGACATGAGTCTTTAAGGAAACCCAATGCAGTATTTTCACAACTGGAATCAGCAGGAGAATGCAACATGAAATGAATAGACTTTAGAACCAGGTAGAATTCTTGTGATCTTGGGCAAATTAACACCCCCTCCGAAACTCAGTGTTCTCTGTAAAATGGGTACAATTCATTAGATAATACATGCAATATGCCTAACATTAGACAGATACATGTCAATTTCCTTTGTAAAGTAAACATTAAGTTGTAAAAGATTTTTTTTTATTTTTAAGCAACCTTATGTTAAAGTTCCTTTAAACACAGTGCTCCTGCTACATTTAAAATGTGAAAACATTTACAAAAATGCAACAGTTCAAGAAAAATCTCAATTGAACAAGGTATACCTGTTTAATTTATTAAGTAGAGCTAAAACTGGAGATGGAAGAATTGTCAATTTTAAGGAAATATCCAGGAACACAATTTAAGGGATATTAGAGATATAGTTCATCAGGTGAAAACTATTACAGATACAAGGAAAAAAATGCAGGGAAGTAAACTGTATATGTCAAGTATATAGAAGCATGTTACAATAATAAAAATTAAGGGAGTCCACAGGAAGTATTTATGACGACAACTTCAAACAACACGCCCTAAAGCAATCTGTAAAAAGAGGACATGAAGTGACTCAGAGAAAGCTGTGCACATGCAGAAAAGCAACTCAGTAGCTCAGTCCCCCCACAATGGTCCCAGAAACAAACCCCATCATCAGGAATCAATATTGCTTCCCTACTCTCAATGAAGCCTGCCATTTGTAGGAATCCACATTCTATGTTTAACAGGTTTTTCCCTCTGTGGAAGTGCAGCTAAACTCCCATGGCTTGGATTCTTCCTGGGCTACTAACGATTTAGCTGGTGATTGTTTCTTTTACCTTGTTACATGGCTATCACTATGATCACTTCTTTGATGGAACATCTACCTCATTTCTGGAAAATTCTTGGTTCCTTCAGGTTCACGCTTAACCTTTTCCTAACATTAAAAACTAGTTTACCTGCAACCTCTAGTTAAAATTTCCAGGAAAGATTTTCCAACATGATGTAACATTTCCCCCGTGGTACTAGAAATCCAAATCACTGAGCCAATCAATATATGTGAAAGCCATAGTAATTAGCACAAATTGATAAAGGTGAATTTTTTGCTATGCTGAATTATATACTTTACATATTATTAATCCAGCATTTACATAAAGGCTTCATTTAACTCAATTCTTTGGCTAACAGCATTACTGGAACCACAAGTATGGAATTTAAAGTGTACAAGCAACTTAACCATACTCTTTTAATAGAGTGTATGTGCAAACACAATCCATACTAAACTGATACATTTCTTAATATTAAATCAAGCCATTATAGTAGAAAGCCATCATCAAGTGATATTGAAGCAATCCTTGTTCTGTGTTGTTCCAAGCATCAGACAATCACCATGTTAGCATTAGATGAGTGTCATAAATCAATGTGGATCTTAAAAGGCCCGAGAAATCAAAGCCAAACACAAGCTAAAACTAAATTCTTACACAAGGCTTAGAGACACAAATGCATAGAAGATAAAATTCACATTTTAGTCTTTTAGCTTCAACACCTTCCAGAAAATGCTTATTTTACTTATAAAAATTGTAAGCCTCTGAAAAGCTAGTCCCAAAATATCACATACGTAACCTAAGTTTTATACCAATGACTCTCAATCATAGCTGCACATTAGAATCACTTAGCTTTAAAAAAATACCAATGATCAGGACCCACTTTCAGAGATTCTGATTTCATTGCTCTGTCACAGGGCCCTGGCATTGATCTTTTTTAAAAGCTCCCCTGGTGATTCTAATATGCAGCCAGGTGGAGAACCACTACTTTAAACTAATGCAGCCTTTTGAGACAATAATTGCTCTGAGGTTGATAAACATGCTTTTTTGCCTTTTAATGAGATTTTATTAAAACTACTCAATGCATTCCATAGCTAATGAGCGACCCACTGCAGGCACTGTAACAGAAAGATGGAGAAAGATGTGTAAGATACATTCCCTACCCTCAAGAAGCTCCCTATTAGTTAGGTAGAGAGACCCATAAATAAATAAGTAACTGTAATTAAATCTAAGTTCTCTTGAGATGTAAGCAAATACAGCATGCCTCACAAACTTGCATGTCATCCTTGAACAGGGGTCATGCTGCATCATTCCAATTTTAGTATATGTCTTACCAGGGCAGGAAAGTCAGGAGTTACAGGTTACTAAATACCAGGGCAAATATTCAGCCAACACAAGGTAAAAATAGTGTGCATTCTGCTATTCCCTTTCACAGATACTGGTATACCAAGAAAGTAGGCATTTTTCTATGTTTTAATTTGGATGATATGTTTTAAATTTCCTTCATGTAATATTACTGATTTTACACTTATCTATAAAACTTCAAATCTGCAAAAGATACAGTAAATGATCATGACATAAAAATTAGTCATTAACCTGTATTTGCATAATGCCTTTCCTTTCCAGTAATTGCTACATTTGCTAAGATAAGAAGTTATAGGACTATGAAAAGGTCCCATTATTAGAGATTTGTTTCAGTCACTTGAAGGATGTTACATGGAAAATGTTATAGAAACACTAGGCATTCAAAGGAGTTTTCGCAAGATTTTCAAAAATAAGAAACACAGGGGAAATGAGTTTTAATTTTTTAAAAAGGAAATGGCATCCTCCCAATATTCATAATGAATCAGGTACATGTTCCCTCAAAGATAGCTTTAACAAGGGTAAAGGCTGCAGCCACTGGAAAGAAAACATATTCTAAATAATGATCTTATACTTTAAAATCTCAACTCTATAAGTTGTCTCAACCAAGGGGAAAAACACACTAAAGGGTCTAAATTAAACTGGAACTTTCATTTATGCTACCAAGTAAGGCCTGGCCCCTAGTACACAGTGGATGAATGAGTAGGTAGGAGGATAGGTAGGGGAGCGAGTGGGTGGTCAATTAGTCTTGAAAGGTGAAATCTATTTTAAAGTACCTTGGTAAAAATTTAAACCTATTAAGACCTAGCGGTGAAAACACCCTGTGATACTAATTTGGTATAAAAGAAAATCAAAATTCCATAGAACTTGGATAGAAATCAAAAAGGTTTTTAGTACAAGTGAACACCTTGAAGGCCTTTCCGTTTAAATCCAGAGTTGAACAAATTCTAAGTTAAGATGTGTGCTGTCAAGGTCCCTGCAAAAAAATCCCAGGCTAATTTCAATTTCCAGATCAATATATACTGAGACAATTTATCAGAGAAATCTTCAGCCTTTACGCAGGGTGAGGAAAACTATCATTAGATTCTTTAACAATAAGGCTACCTTGGATTCATTATTTCATGAAATGGCATTTTAGAAATAGCACTGACCAAGTCAGATTTTGTAGGTTATGAATGAGAGATTTCACAGTTAATAGTAGTTAAGGTAGCCATAGAGTACCTATTACCTCAAAATTAGCTTGCTTTCCCTCTTTATGCATCTCTAAAACAGAAGAAATGAATTTAATTCTACCAGGGATGTTTTCTGAAAATATTCTATCAATTGTAAGTCAGCAGAATACTGACTCTATTAATGTGATGCTGACCATTTCTTTTCGATATCCAAAGAGAGCATTATCATCACCCTTCCAGACCTTAAGGAATCAGAACTAGTTACCAAAATTGATTCAATGATGGCTATTTTCCGTCATCACAATATAATTAACATTTTAATCTCACGTTTTCCAATTATGACTTTGCTGGCTCATTTACATCAGCTATAAGTAAGATGTAACAAACATCATTCACCCACACATGTAGTCATTTGGAGGTTTTAGGGAAACACCTAATTTACCTTTACTGGGTACTCTTGAGAATGAAGAAATTTTTGATATATTTTTTTCTCTAGTACTGTGCTATTCACATGTGGCTATTGAGTACTTCAAATGTGGCTAGTCTGAGGAACTGAATTTAGAATTTTATTTAATTTTAATTAATTTAAATTTAAATTTAGAAAGAGATACTTGATTTAGTTATTGGGAAACTTTTAAGTATGTTTGGAACAACTTGGGTATGTAAATCTACTTTTGCAAATGCAAAATTTTATGAAACCTAAATACAGATTAAATATTTCTGATGAAAATTTCGCTTAGTGTCAGAATTGAGATGGGCTTTTATTGTAAAATACACATTGAATTTCAAGTATAAAAAAAGATGTAAAATATCTCATTAATACTTTTTATATTGATCACATGTTGAAATGATAACTTTGGATCTACTGCATTAAATATTTTATTAAAATTGATTGCATTTATTTGTTTTCAATCTTTTTTAATGTGGCTACTAGAAAATTTTAAATTACTGTATGTGGCACATTGTATCACATTATATACCTTTTGGACAGCGCTGCTCTAGAGCACTTCCACAACCACTTTTACCAGGACACATTTGGCTATCCTCTTACGAGACAGGCTGGTCATGTAACAATAGGGGCAAGGAGTAACATGTCCTCTCATCAACTGGGTCTGAGTAAAGTGTGTAGCAAGCTCTACCCACAATTTCACCATGTGAGACAACACTGTGATAATTCCTCAATATGGAAGAAAAAAATTAGTTATCAGCACTCAAATTGAAATTGAGTACTGCAGACAACTTAAAAGAGATAGAGCCACCTGCTCTAAGGTCTTGGTTTCATTTCCCAACTGCGGACCTTAAAATAGACAATAAAGCACCGCTTCCAAAAAAAGAGGTAAAATGTTTCAACGGTAGCTATCTAGCAATCCTTATTAAATAAGCAGAAATCGGTCTTAAATTTTATCTCTTCAACTTCTAAAGTCACAGAATACACGCTGTGCTAGGAAATCAACTTCAGATTGCCAGCATTTCCCTCACAAGCAAATTAGCAGGATTGTGCGCTTGGAATATTGTTTGACAAGAATGAAAAGGAAACTATTCAAAATAGATTTAAGGAATGGACAATTAGATGAGGAACTGCAGATTTAATTCTCAATCAGCACTGTGATTAATCTGATTCCCTGCTTTTCCCTAGCGTAATTATACAACACAGATGAAAGGATGAGCATTTGGACTGTCAGTTCTATATTCTAGACCAGCCCGGTGACTCAAAGCAGACGGCTCTACCACGCTAACCACCATCCCAACAACAGTCGAAGGGAGCCTCGAGCACTGATTGAACAGTCATTGCATAACGAGGCATTAAAAATTCGAATGCCCCCAACTCTTTCCACATTCGTCTACACCAGGAGGGAATTTGCTGAAACTGAACGCACCCCGTCTTCAATGACCCCCTCCAATCCGGGCATGGGGTGAACACAAAGGCATCTGTCTAATATCCTGCACAATAGACACACACCCCACAATTAAAAAGCCTGAACGCTCTTTCTCTCTTTCTCTCTCTCCATGCAAGCAAAGGAAATACAAGCTGCTCTTTTCATAAATGGTCTATGGTACACGAAAGGTAACAATAACCCCAACTGTTCCCAGGAAGCAACTAAAATCGGTTCTGCCACGTCCCTGTGCAACCGTCAGATAAAATGCAGCAGCCAGCCCCACGCCTTACAGGGTGGCCAACCTCTGCTCGTTGGCCTCAATGGATCGCAGAGAACCCCCCTAGGACCCCAGGAGATCCAGGTACACGTCTATAAATACTACAGGGTGAGGAGGACCAAGGAGGCTGAGGGGAGGGAGGAAGGGAGGGCAGGGGGCAGGCCCGGAGCGGGTGCGGGAGGACCCGGGCATCACTGAATTGCATTTTTCCACACTCCCGCTCCCTCGCGTGGAGACTCACTTGCCGATCACCTCGCACAGCTCGTACACATCCTCGAAGAGCACGTCGTCGTCGGCCATGGTCCGGAGGGGACAGTGGCCGCAGTGTGGAGGGCTCCGAAAACGGGGGTGGGGGCGCCCAAGAGCTCAGTGCCCAGCCCCGGGCTCGTCTCCTCCCCTGGGGACCCGCGAGCCCTCGGTGCTGAGGACTCTCGAGTGGGGCCGCGAGGCCCAGAGACTGCAGCGCCTTCCTCTGCTGGCGACCGCCCCGGCGCGGGCGGCGGGGCCGGGGCGCGAGAGCGAGGGCGGCCCGGGCCCGGCGCCGCCCGCCCGCCCGCTGCTCCTCGCGCTGCTCGGGCCGCTCTGCCCGGCGTGCGGATCCTCGGGGACCGCTCGGCGTCGCGCTCTCCGCTCGTCAGCCCGCGCGGGCCGCGAGGCCGCGACCGCTCCCTCTGTCCGAGGCTGGCTCTGGCGCGGCGCGGGGCAACTCGGGCTACAGGGGGGGCCGCGGCAGGACCATGGAGGGAAGATCGCCTCTGAGGGAGGTGGCGGCGGCAGATCGGCGCTGGGGACCAGGAGGCGGCGGCAGAGACGCTCCCTCCTCCTTCTCCTCCTCCCGCCGCCGCCGCCGCCGCCCGCCCGGGAGTGGGAGGAGGCTTCGCGGGACTAGCGCTCTGTGCGGGCGAAAGCCGCGGCCACCGCCTTCTGCTCCTCCCCTCCGCCTCAGCAGCGGACCGGCTTGTGAGCCCCGCGCACCCGCCTCGCGCATACACGCCCTCCTCCCCCTTCGGCTGTGGGGCTTCCAGAACCACAGGCCCCGCCCACTCCAGCCCGTCGGGAGGCGGTGGCCCAGGGAAAGAGAATTGAGTTGAATGGCGCATGCGCACGGCGCCAGCCGCGTCACCGCGAGCGGGAGGGCGCCGGGATCCTAGAGGGTGCTGGAGGTTGGCAAGTGGGTCGTGCAGGCTGCAGCTGCGGAGGCGGGGCTGGTTGGGGTCGTCACCTCCGCGCCCAGCAGCCACCAAGCCACGAAAGGGGCCGGGGACAAAGGGTCCACAGCCGCACGCACGTAGTTCGGCAAGAGGCTCAGAACTCTGGCCGCTCCCCGCATTCTTTTGTAATCGCAGGAAGCGTTTCCCGGTTTTTTGCTGGGAAAAGAAGCAGGGAAAGGGTGCTAATGAATGGGAAAGCAAGAAGAGAGGTGGAGAGAGGTTGTCACTCAAGACCGTGCTTGGCAGAGGATGCTTTTAGTGCCACCTTGTCATTCCTTAATGAAAATGAGGACTGGAGGAGGGGGTTCGTCCAAGAAAAGGACCAAACAAAAACTGTCTAGGAAGGTGTGCAACAACAAACGGTAATCTATAGAGACAGCTTCTCCCGCGCTCTGCCTCAAATTCAACAAATATCTATCCAGCACCCACCCTTGCTAGAAACAACCTAGAGAAAGGTCAGGAAAGCAGGGACATACTGACACTTTAAGCTCCTTTGTATATTGTCCCCAAGCCCAGCACCTACTCTGCTTTCTATTATACTCCCTATAAATGTTAGACTTAACAGGATAAAAATGCAACTAGAGGGAGTGGATGCACAGAGTCAGGCAGGGAGTGAGGTTCTGGGTGTTGCCGCTGTGCTAGGTTGCGTTCAACACGAAGATTTCTGTTCAACTGAGCATGTGCAGAATGAGCCAACGCCATCAGACAGGTATATGCCTCAGTTGAAGACCAATAAAAAAAGTCTTTGTTCCTCCGCACAGCAGAAGTACTCAATTAGTTCATAAGTCAGCTTCCAGAAATCATCTCATAAAATTCTCAGTGCAGTAATTTAAAAAAAAATAGTATTTACCAAAGTGGAGAGGAGGCAAGGTGGAGACTCAGCCTATTTAATCTTCAGAAACGTTTCGTGCAAACCCTTGACCACTCCCTCAAGAGGCTGAGAGATTTGCCTGTTAAGGATTTGGGTACTAAACCTTTTTTTTAAAATGCACATCAGGGGGGAAATATAATTGCACAAGAAAGTTTTCCTTCTTTCTCAAATAGCTTGTCCATTCTCTAGAGAAATGGGCTTCAGAGCTTGAGGAACATCGAATCCTTTAAGGGTCCAACAGTTCCAAGTAATTCACCCCAAGTTGGCACGTCCAGCTCTCGATAAATAAGGTGTCACTCCATTCTGCCCTGAGGTGCACAGCAACCCTCACAAGTCACCTTGTCAGCTTCACTTCTTTTCCCCAGCCCAAGTCTGAGGTATGCCAAGGCGTGTGGACTTCATTTTGAAGTTTGTTATCTTCCATGGGACTTATGCTTAGAAGTAGAAAAGGATAATTATAAAAAAAAAAAAACAGAAAAGAAAGTGGAGGTGAGAAAAGATGACTGCAAACATAGGTGAGCTCTCTGCTCATGGAATCACAGCTGGTTTGCATCTGGAAAGAGCCTTAGAGGTCAGCTGCTCCACTTACAGATGTGGGGGGTGTGGTGATTACTCTCCCAAGAGCCATCCCACCCTTCTACCATAGGGTAGCAGCTCCATATAACCACTCAGCTGGAGAAGTGGATCCTGATTAATCTATAACAATAAACGCAGCCCCCTCACCACAGTGATTGGCCTAACTTAATCAGCTCTTGGCATTCCCTGGTCACAGGCCTTGAATGGTTCAATGTCTTCCAATCAGAACAAAGCTCAGGACTTTCCCCCCTAATCAGAACTTAGATCTCCCAGTCCCCAGTGTGGTATTTAGTTATACAGAAGTTCTCTGCAATACACATCCCTGAGAACTTGTACCATGTATGAAGGCTAGAGGTAGGTCCTCTCTGCTTCTGGGACTAAAATAACCAAACCTTGTGAATAAAGTTAATTTTTCTCTGGGTTTCTTTCAAAATCCACTACTCTTCCAAAAAATAAGCACAAGTATAAGTGGTCAGGTGTCAAAAATTTAGTTCTGTTTTAGTTTCCATAAAGAAAACGTTAAAATAACTAAGTGTATCAGTTAGATTGTATTCAGATGTTAATTAATAACTGAATATTCAACTAACAGCAGCTTAAACAAATGGAGGGATGTTCCTACTGTAGCAAGGAGTCTGGAGATGGGTAGTTACTAACATTGGATCAGCTACTCAACAGCGTCATCAGTGGCCTAGGTTCATTCTTTCCACTCTGCCATCCTTGACATGTTAGTGAGTCTCATTCTCAGGCTTGTTGCTTCACCATCTCAAGATGGCTGCTGCAATTTCAAACTTTTCAAAGGCAGGAAGCCAGAGGGCAGCAAGGGCAGGAAGGGCCCTTTTTGCTCCCTCTTTCATCTTTTGTTAGGGAAAGAAAATATCTTTTTCCTATTTCATTGTCCAGGACAGAGTCACACAGCAACCCTCACTGCAAGGGTTGCCGAGGCCTGGGTATTTTGACTTTTCCTGTCTCCTCGTCAGAGGTAGACAAGGGAGAAGTAGGTGGGGAATGGGTTTCAGTAGCCGATCACCACTATTTCTATTACTAGGAAAATTACCAATGAAACAATTCTATATCTTCATCTACTGTAGATATACCTCTAGTATATAACTCATAAGCCTCTAAAAAATTCAGAAACATCTAAAAACCCACAAAGATGTAATTGATGCTAAACAAATGTAATTCTCAGTTGTCAGTGCAAATCTTCAATCATTTTGAGGTGTTGGACTTCTTAACAATTACATTAGATGTTCTCAGGTTGTCTGGCTCCCACATAATTTCAGCATGGGGAAAACACATTCTAGAGAAATATTAGCATGAAGGCCACACACAGAGGTCGGTGTGGCACAGGGCTAATTTAGGCAATTTAGAGTTCAGCCTCACTCTGTAGTGTGATTGTTTAAGCATATAAATTATTACTGATTTAATGAATAAAATTAAGAATGACACTGTTCTCAACTGGAATAAAGTTATTGCCCTCATGATATGAATAAGATGTTCTAAGCTTGAATGAAAGACAGCATCTGTCTCTCATGAAAAAGATATATCTATTAGACTTATACTCTGATGTCATGTTGCAAGTTATTTATTTTACATTTATTCAATGAATGTTTATGCTAGGCACTGGGGCTGTAGCTACAAATAAGGCAGATATGGTCCCTGCTCTCTCTGAGCTTCCTTCTAAAAGAAAACTAGTATCAAGCAAGTAATTACAACAAAGAGGACCTATGGGTCAGGGGAGGCACAATTGAAGAAATGTTTAGACTAAGACTGAAGAAAGTGTAGAAATTAACCAGGTGAAAGGAGTCAGTTGATTTTAGGTAGAGAGACAGCTTTTGTGAAGTCTTGGAGGTGAGCAAGAATATGCTCTCTTGGAAGAAGAACATGTTCTTTTGGAGAAGTAGGTCATGGCTGGATCATAGAGCATAGAAAGAAAGAGGCCAGAGGGAGTTAGAGAAATAAGGCTAGATAGCGAAAGTTGTCAAACACCATTTTAAAGAGTTCACCCACTGAAAGACCTCAGATTTCAGTGGTACTGGAGGCTTATGTATAGACTGAGTCCCCCCAAATCTATGGAAGGACAGAATTCTACTTTTAAGTAATTCTTTCCTTTGCACTCGGTACATATTGTTCTTTCCCTTACTTTAAAAAATGCAGATATGCCTGCTGTAAATATGAAATCCTTTAAATGGTTTCAGCAGACACTATAAGTGCTCCATTCAAATCCCCTCTGATATCTTTTACCATTTCTGTATGCCCTATCCAAGTTTCAGCATATTTTTGCTTCCAAAGCCTGTTCCTGTAATTTCACAGGACTTTGCACAAGCTACTGGGATCATTTTACCCACATGGAAGTGTCTGGGAGTTTAGGTCTCTCCCATCTGGCTATTAGCCATTAGGCAGTGAGCAGTAGTGCAGGAATGTGAAAGCCCAGCTCACTTGACTGGGGAAGAGGGGACAACTCTGTGGGGTTACTCCAGAGCTCCCCTGTGGGATCAGGCTGAAGCTACCTTTCCCAGGACTTTGCCTGAAATCTCACCCTTGCTTGGCTCCCTCCCCTCCCCTTCCCTTCCCTACTTCTCTCATGCTCTAACAAGTTTCTACTGAGAGCACTTCCTTAATAAATCACTTCCTCATGAATTCCCTATCAGGGTAGGCTTTTGAGGAACCCAACCTAAGAAAACGGTGTTTCTCAAAGTGGCAACTGCATCAAAATCACATGGGAGTTTATGAGAAATGTTAAAAGTGTCAATACCTGGGTTCTACCCAAGACCTACTGAATCTGAATCTCCTGGAGCATGTTGCAGGATCTGTATTTTTATAAGCTTCCTAAGTGAGTCTAGTACACCTAA